ATCATTTTAAGAATAATAAGGAAACCTCAAATATAATTTAGGATGAACAAAAGAATTGAATTGAAATGGAAAGCTATAAGAGTTTTTTTTTTTTAATAATAAGAAGATATTCATATTTCATGGAAACATTAACTTAAAGAGATAATAATGAAATATAAGAAATTCATTTAAAATAATAATATTTTTAGATTAAAAAAATAAATGGTTAAATGTTGTAGTAAATGTATGTTTGTATAAGTTTTTAAAGATAAAAGAAATAATTTATATTTAATATTATATTTCGAGAGAGTAATAGTATAGATTCACATTGACGAAAAAAATAGAAAGATTCAATGTATCTTAATATTAAATTAGAGTAAAATATAAGAATAAAAACAATACAATTATATCTACATTATTTCGAGATAGTAATAGTATAGATTCACATTGATGAAAAAAAATAGAAAGATTCATTGTATCTAAATATTAAATTAGAGTAAAATATAAGAATAAAAATAATACAATTATATCTACATTATTGTTTGCTTTCTAAATAAAAATTGAATATGTTTAAATATAGGTAAAAATCTAAATAAGTACTATTGAGAAAATTATAACAAATATATATCTTTCGTAAAATTACATTACACTGAAGCACGAAAACCATATAACTGATAAACGAAAGATAAACTAAGAAGATGAAAATGAGGAAATAGTTTTGAGTTAAGAATCAATTTAAAGTTTTATTATATGTAAGTGAGCATAGAAGATAATAGAAGAGTAGATGTTGGAAAGCGAACACATGCATCATAGAAGATGACGAAAAAATGTTTGAAGATCCTGAAGCATCAGATATATGTATGCACATGACTAAACGAAATTCATCGGATATATGTATGCACTATAGATAATTTGGTTTAGTAAACCAGACTATCATATTCAACATCGGGTTAAATCGTCGAACCATGTAAGCATAGTAGGATAGATAAGATAAAGACATTTATGATTTGGTCAAAACTTTCCTTTAGGTATTATGGTCTTGCTTCAATAGATAAATTATGCTCTCCAAACCTATTGAAGTGGCATGAATATTACGTTTATATATTTTCATAGATTGATGTTCAAACTTAGCAAATTTACTTTTAGTACGAGGTACGATAGGTCAAAACATCAAGAAAAATATACTTACAAGATTTGTTTATGGAAATAACTCTCTTTTTGATAAAGTCCATTGATAACTACCGAGACCGAATCATCTTATATAATTTTTATTATTACGTGGTACCTACCAAATATATTTTATAATTTCTATGTTGTATATTGTTTCGTAAAACAAGTATAAATATATAGAGTTTTTAAAATTCAAACGATTATGATTAGTTTTTTTTTCGGGTATTTATGAGAAGAATTATGATTAAAATTTAATGTTTAATTAAGTTATATGCTAAGAACCGGCTCTTATATAAGAGTCAAAGAACCAGTTCTTAGCATTAATTTTTAGCAATTATTTATCTTCTTATTTTTTAAAATATCTCTGGAATCCATGATAACCCGAGAAATTCGATCCGAACCAGAACCCGAAAATTTAGTTTTATTCTATTGGGTCCTAAACTCATAAAACCGAACCCAAACCAGAACCCAAAAATACCCGAATGTTTTATTCGAAAATTCGAAATTTTACCCAAAATTTGAATTTTTAACAGAAAATCCGAATATTTACCCGAAAAATCGGGTATTTATCCAAAAACCCGATAATTTACCCAAACATTTATGTAGTGGGTATTTAGCAGTTCTGAAAATCAATACCCGAACCAACCTGAATCTGAAAGGACCCGAACCGAAATCGAACCAATCTTATGATTTACCTTATTGGATCCTAAACTCCTCTACCCGAAAGACACGTTACCGATTTTTTATTTTATGAATTGCAAGTTTTTTTTTTTTTTTGTCATCCGCAGTTAATTAGAGCTCAAAAGAGCCATTCCTGAGGAATGTTGTTTACATAGGTGAGATGAAGCGGTTCTGTACGAACTTTTCGTGCCAGATTATCCTCCTTACTATTAGCCCTACGAGAAATTAAAGATAAAGAAAAAGATGAAAACTCCTCCTTGTCGCTCTGAAATTCCTCCAAATACACTGAAAACGCCGGCCATTCGGTTGGAGAAGACACCATCTTCACCAGGTCTGAACAGTCTGTAAAGAAAGCTACCTCTTGAATATCTGCACCAATCATACACTTCATCGCCCAGAGAAGGGCCTCGACTTCGGCATGTAGTGGAGATAGACTTCTACGGAGGTTCGCAGCTCCCATGGTTGGCGGCTCTCCATTTGACGACGTACAGAACCAGCCTGTACCGGAGAACTTATCACTTTCTTTCCATGATCCATCCACAAAACAACGGTATCCCGAATACTCCGCCTCAAGTGAAATATCCCTCACTCGATCTTGATTTACCAAGTCCACAGAACCATGATTTTCATTATGGAGCTCAATTTGAGCTGACTGCCACAATTGTGCCTCTTTTTCCGCTAATCGCAATACTTCTGCTGGGTCTGTATCTATGTTTTCAAAGATTTTTTCGTTCCTTGCTTTCCAAATATACCAAATAATCCATGGGAAGGCTGATGAATCAAATTCCGTAGGTATTCTCCAAAATAAGTGATCCAAATTCGTAAAATTAGATTCCGTGGGGAAAATCCCCATAGCCGTAGGAATCTGTGAAAGTGCCCAAATCTGCGTGCCGGGTGGCACTTAAAGAGTGTATGATTGATCGTTTCCTCTGATGCGCCACATATGGCACACCCCGTGTCACAATCAATTCCTCTTTTCCGCAGATTTTCCGTAACCGGTACACATCCCGTTAAGATTTGCCATATGAAATGGCGTATCTTAGGTGGACACTGCACTTGCCAAGAATATGCTTTTAACGGGTTGATGTTAGGGCCAAAAAAGTTTAAATTGGTCTCCGACTTCTCCATCCGTGTAGAATGATATCCCGATTTGACTGTATATTTTCCGGATTTTGTAAAATGCCAACCCAAAGAATCTTCTTTTGTTGGCACACCCACAGGTATGGCGCTTATTAGAGCGACATCTTCTGGATTATAGATCGCTTTTAAGAGATCAATATTCCAAAAGTTCGACCGACTATCTATAAGTTCTTTAACTTTTAAAGATGGGTCAGCAACTGAACCATTACTTTTTGCTTGTCTCGGGAATTGAGCTGGAATCCAGGGAGAATATGATTTTATATTTTCCAAAGGATTGGATTTCATAAAATACCGTCCTTTAAACACTTTTGCGAATAGAGAATCTGGAACCGTAATCAACCGCCATAATTGTTTTGCTAGTAAAGCTGAATTAAAATCGTCCACATTCCGAAATCCTAACCCCCCTTCCGATTTGCTATTGCACAATTTGTTCCAAGCCATCCAATGCATACCTCTGGAGTCACCATTTGAGCTCCACCAGAAATTTGCTACCGCGCTAGTAAGTTTAGAAGTGATTGTTTTCGGTAGTCTGAAGCACGACATAACATAAGTTGGTAGTGCTGCAGCTACCGATTTAATCATCACTTCTTTTCCCCCTTTTGATAAAAATTTGGCCGACCATCCGTTAATCCTTGTTTGTAGTCTATCTCTGACAAAAGAGAAAATTTTTGTCTTGGAGCCCCCCAAACTCTCCGGCAATCCGAGATAAGAACCCATACCACCGATATTAGTGATACCTAAGGTAGATTTGATTTCTTCCTTGATATCATCATCTACCTTGTGTCCAAACTGAATCGAGGATTTTAAAAAATTTATCTGCTGTCCCGAGACCTCTTCATACTTCTTTACAATCCCCAAAACTATCCCGCATTGGTCCTTGTTAGCCTTGCAAAAAAATAAACTATCATCCGCAAATAACAAATGTGAAACCGAAGGGCTTGCATTTGCCACTTTGATGCCCGTAATTAATTTTTCCCGTTCAGCTTTCCGAATATTTGCAATGAGCACTTCTGTGCAAAGGATGAATAAATAAGGTGAGAGCGGGTCTCCTTGTCGTAAACCCCTCTCTGGTACTATTAGTCCTCTAGGTTGTCCATTAAGGAGAACTCTATATTGGACCGTTGTAATACACCACATTATCCATTTAATCCATTTTTCACAGAAACCCAACTTCCTTAAGACCTTCTCGATGAAAATCCATTCTACCCTATCGTAAGCCTTGCTCATATCCGTTTTAATGGCCATAAATTTGCCTTTACAAGACGGGTTAGTTCTCAACCCATGGAACATCTCTTGTGCAATGAGAATATTATCCGAAATCAAGTGTTCTTCTACAAAAGCCGATTGTGTTTCCGAAATCAGTTTTGGAAGCACCGTCTTAAGTCTTTGGCAAAGGATCTTCGATATAATTTTATACCCAACATTGCAAAGACTAATAGGCCGTAATTCCGTCATCCGTGTTGGTCTTTCCGTTTTTGGAATCAGGCAAATATTAGTCGTATTTAGCCGTTTATCAAAAATTTCATCCTCTAAAATGGAGTTAACCAGACAAAGAAGATCTGTTTTAATAGTAACCCAAGCCTTTTGGAAAAATAAGGCTGTCATACCATCAGGTCCAGGCGCTTTTTCCGGGTGCATCATAAACAGAGCCGTTCTCACCTCACACTCCGTCGCGCGTGCCGTTAGAAAATTATTAATTTGATCCGTAAACAGAGCAAGTTTATTATTTATTTTATTTATTTTTAAAATTAATATTTTTTTTCTAAGAACTACAAGTTAAGAACCTACCATTGGAGAGACATAAAAATTAAAATCAATAACTAATCTCTTAACTCTAAAATTTACAAAATTAATATTAAACTAATCCTAGGACTAGGAGCTAAAAATAAGAGACCCTCAATAAGGTTGTAATTAACTACGATTTTCCTAAATTTATAAAAGTTAGAAAAAAAAAAACAACAACCGTAGACTACCCCTCATACGGTCATACCCTAATTTATAAGACAAAGATTGGTTGAGAGGGACGAAACTAAAAACCCTAATTTATACTTACCGAGCCTGAGTCGCTTTCTTCTTTCACAAGAAAAAACAATGATGATGCCTCACCTTCCAGCGGAATTAGTAGAGGAAATACTCTCTAGAGTCCCCGCCAAATCTCTGAAACGATTACGCTCTACTTGCAAACAATGGACCACTTTATTAAAAAACCGAGGATTAAGCGAGAAGCACTTTCGTAAAGCTCCAAAGCAGTCTCTGGTTCTCATATCGAACGATTATAGGGTTTGTCCAATGAGCATCAATCTTAACGTTGTTGCTCCATCTATAGAGTTTAAGAGAGAACTTAGCCTAAAGGATTTCCTTTATAGTTCTATACAAGTTGATATAACCACAGTTTTTCATTGCGACGGTTTGTTGTTATGCACCACCAATGATGATAGACTCGTAGTTTGGAACCCGTGTTTGGGGGAAACCAGGTGGATTCAACTCAAAGCTGATTACGAGAAACACTCTATGTTTGCTCTAGGATACCAAAATAACAAATCTTGTCGCAGCTAAAAATCGTGAGGTGTTGGAACTGTAACGAACCAAACATAGGTGTTGCATTTGAAATATATGAGTTTAGCTTCATGGAGGTTTTGTGATAATGTTTGTGTCGGCTACGTTATAAAACCACAGACTGGTGTGTCTTTTAAGGGAAATACATATTGGGTTACTTTCAATGAAAGAAGTATCTTGGCCAGTTTTGATTTTACAACAGAGAGATTTAAACGTGTGTATCTTCCGCCAATTGAGAATTTGGATTGGAAGATTCTATCAATTGTTAGAGAAGAAGAACTCTCAGTGTTAATACAGAAAGAGTATACATCAAAGATGGAGATTTGGGTGGCCAATAATATTGAAACTGAAGCCACCTTGTCATGGAAGAAATCCTTTACTGTGGATATACGAATTCGCACTAATTCTCATAATTATACAGTTTGCCATAGCTTTCTGATCGAGGAGGAGAAGAAAGTGGTCGTGTGTTGTAATGAAAGGAATTATGACATCATGATAGACATTATTGGAGAGGACGATGACTATTACACAAAATTCCCTTTTGTACAACCTAGATGTTGGCCGTGGTGTCCATGTATTTTCAATTATGTTCCAAGTTTGGTTCAAATTCGGCTGAGGTAGAGGATAAATGAAAATAATGAAACTAGCTAGTCTCCTTTTTATTTCTTCGATCGGTTTTGTTTTTCTAGACAAATGTCAATTATTTTACGTTATGATTTCTTTATTCTTTGCATTACATTCAAGTTTTTAGCTTAAAACATTTTTACATTATAAGTCGGGTATTGATGATAGGATATGCGGCGGGTGTAATGTTTGAGAAAAGGTACATGAGATGTAGAGGATCACAATGGTATATGCGATATCCGATATCCGCTTGTGCTAAGCTAGAGGATCAATTGAAACTTGGACATATAAACTATAAAACGTAAGAAATTCCATAAAAATGATCTCAAATCAACTTCTTGATGTTCTGCTACATTGGTGTTTGTACTGTGATATATGTTGCCTACAATCTCATGGGTTTCCTAACTATAGATGTTCTTTTTCTTTGTCGAAGAATCTTGCCACGGATGAATAATCTATTTTCCTCCTCAAACTGTTTCGATACGTAATCATATATTCCACACTTGATGAATTTTTCGTTTGTAGCCTAATTAAATCACATCAGCTGTCATAGCTAATATTGGTATGTGCCACTTCCTAAAAAATATCAAGAAAAGAAGCTTCGCCAGACTTTGTTTTCTAGTTGATCTTCTTTTCGGAATCATAGACTCTCCTTGTTGCTTCAAGGGTAAAAAAAAACGAAAAGAAATGACCATATTAGCATGAGTCACATTAAGTGGCTTAAGCAATACAAGTGCAGCTTAGCCACTTTCAATCACAAGATATATTATACGATTGTTTATCCTCGTAAGTAGACGTCTTGAATGTGTTAGCATATCGCATCAAATTATTGGTTTGTCATGATACTTGGTTATTCGAGGATGCTTCAAAGGGATTACTATATAGCAGCATTTACTGGTGCAAAATACGTTGCAAGATTTGTCCCAATTATAGCTGATAACAACAATCACATCATGACAAAGTTGAGAATATGTTCTTGATAAAGACAGATGATCGAGATACAAATGTTCGTGTGATTTAACAAAGAAGAATGTGCAATCAAGACGCAACACTGCAAGAACCAAAGAGGAAAAGTAGATTGTAGCTTGGGGATCCAATTGGCGTCGTAAGGCACAGATAAGCACTACACTGCGTTACATTGCGTTGAGTTCGTGGTATGAGGTTGCATATCTGAAGCAGTACTAGCTCGCTTTATGTCCTCTATGCAAATCTTAAGAACTCACTAACTAACCCATTCAGAAACATCTCACTACTTCGTTTGTTCAATTTTAGTTCATTTCTTTCATATAAATTATGCTATATACTATATTTTATCAATTGGGGTGTAAATGTAACACCCCAGTTTAAGGAATATGGTGGTGCATGCGGAGAAGTTTAAAAGAATTGATTTGGCCACCTATGTCACCAAAGTGCACTTATCTTTTCAGTCAACTGTCCTGAGAGAACTCCACAGTTAAGCGTGCTTGAGCTGGAGCAATTTCAGGATTGGTGACCTTCCGGGAAGTGATTGTCAGAACCGTGTGAATGAGGACAAACCATGTGGTGATTTGTAGGGTCGGTAAACAAGTCTTTAAAGCCTCCCGGACGTAGCGGACCGGCCGTCGGACAGGAGTGGGCCCATGGGCCGAGAGAAGACGTGGGACCCATTGGTAGAGACGGTCGGAGCGTTACAGTAACGTTTTTTTCATAAGTTAGATAGGTGGAATACTCTGATACACTCCTAAATAGTTGGAATACTCCAATTTATTCCATGTTCTAAAAATTGCGCGATTAAGCGCCCAAATAACACGAGATCATTTTTTTGGTATACGCTCCCGATTAATCTGTTTTTTCAATTATTATTTTCTAATTTAACTATACATTTTTTGAAAGAAAATAGATATTTAAAATTGAATCTTTAGCATTATATATTTAATTTCTGTAATTTATCTATAAAAATGAAAGAATACAAAAAAAAAATCTCAGCATATTCTTCTTTTAATCTCCGACTAATTGACTAAAACTTCGATATTTTTTTACTGTACGATTAAAGAAATATTTTAAACATGAAAAATACTTGGGTTCACACCTAGGGTTATATTATATTCACCCTTTTTATTTCAGCCAATTAGAATTTGCCACCAAGTAATAAAAAAAAATTCATTTAATTATAAAATCTAATTTGCCACTAAAACAAAATTATGTATCGGTTTGGGTTTATTAGAAAGGGTTAGGGTTTAGATTTTATAATTAAACGAGGTTAAATATCTGTTTAGGTTTATAAACAGACTTAGATTTTATAATTAAACGAGGTTAAATGTCGATTTGGGTTTAGAAAGTACGATTAGGGTTTAGATTTTATGATTAAACGAGGCTAAATATCGGTTTGGGTTTATAAACGGACTTAGAATTTACAATTAAACGAGGTTAAGTGTCGATTTCGGTGTAGAAAGTACGATTAGGGTTTAGATTTTATGATTAAACAAGGTTAAGTATCGGTTTGAGTTTATAAACAGATTTAAATTTTACAATTAAACGAGGTTAAATGTCGGTTTGGGTTTAGAAAATACGATTAGAGTTTGGATTTTATGATTAAACGAGGTTAAATATCGGTTTGGGTTTAGAAATTACGATTAGGGTTTAGATTTTTTACGATTAAATGAGTTTAAATGGCGGTTTGGGTTTACAAAGGAGAATTAGGGTTTAGATTTTGTAACTAAACGAGATTATATATCGGTTTGAGTTTATAAAAGAATAGTTAGAGATTAGATTTAATAATTGAGTTTAATTTTTTTTTATTATGTGGCAAATTCTGATTGGTTAAAATAAAAGGGGGTGAATCAAAGGATTACTCTGATTGGTTATTATGTGGCAAATTTTTTTTATTATGTGGCAAATTCTGACTGGTTAAAATCAAAGGATTCACCCATAGGGATGAACCCAAGTATTACTCTTTAAACATTGGATATATAGTTAAAAGTTGATTAATTTCTAGATATATTTTGATCTATTTTTATCGTTTTTCTTATGAAAGTTTCTAAATCAAAGTAAATCATATTTAAGTTTTTCGAAATTAGGAACTAGTTGGACATCATAGAAACCAATTTGACAAAATAAAAAGATTTAGAGATCCTTAGTTTCAAAAGAAAGAAACAAATAGACAAACAATATTTCAAAATAACAAAGATAAAAGGTTTTAATGGTCCATAAAGAGATTTACAAACATAGTTTTAAAATAAATGCATACCAAACTTAGAACATAAACCAACAAAGAGTTTAGATATGATCATTCTTAAATACCGCCAAAATCCTATTGATATCAAACGATGTCACATCAGCATTATCTTCTCCAGCGGTTGTTCCATTAGGAGCTGGCTCTTGACAGAAACCATCGTGGTCGCTATAGTGTTTTTTCTCCTGTAAATGTGAGTTGTGAATGTTGCTTCCTTCCTTGCTTACTTCTAGATTACGGCTCATGAAATCAAAAAGGTGTGGCCTTTGTTGATTCGTAGTCATTATTGGATTGTAGTTCATGTTATGATGCTGGAAAGGTTGAGAGACTGACTCAACCAAATTATGAAAAATATCATTTGTGGTGGTCTTAATTGCCTCGACTTGTACTTCAAATGGAAATAGAGGTGGATCACGAAGAGGAGTAAACTGCATGGAATCTAGCTTCTTCCTACAACATATGATATTATCCTTTAAGAAAGATATCAAGGTGTAGATCTCACTCAAGGTAAGATCACCAATTCTACGACCGCTTTGTAGTTGAATCATCAACTCATTAGTAACATACTCCTTTTTCTGCTTATCGATCTTCATCAGTTCCTCATGAATCTTCTTCGTCTTGTCATTTAGGTATGACTCGACACTCGTCTGTTTTTTGTTCTGCTTGAACTTTGGAAAGGAAAAAAACTCGTCTAGGAGGCCATGAGTTTTCTCAGCAGATGGCCACACCACTGGTTCAGCCTCATTAGGACTAAAAATGATCGTGCAAGCCCTTACATCGCACAATATGCTTAGTTCATTCACCTTTTTCACTAACCCTGCCCTCCTTCTTTTCAATGTCATTGATCTGGAGTAGTCACTCTCTATCCATGCAAGATTTACTTTTTTTCCTGTCATGTTTACTCCTTGATTTTAGTTTTACTCCTTTTAAAAGTGAAATGTTGTTGGGTATATGAAAAAAGAATAACGTGGGAATCTATATATATAATGGGAGAGTTTCTCTCCTCTTAGGGTGTCCACATCATCACCACATTAATATTATAGGTCCCACCAACAATTATTTCAAAATATTTAATTTTATGGTTAATACATCTCATTATCAAAGAAGTAATCATCAATTAATGCATAATTTTAAATAAAGGTTACTTGAATAAGAATAACATAAGTGTAACATATATACATATAAAACATTTAAAATTAATTTTATGTTAATATATAACTTAAAATGAACATAACCCCTAAATATTTAATTAAGAAATAAAAAATAATTATGAAAATTTTATAAAGATATCAATGTTATTTAAGATGGATAAAAGGATTCTTAATGAAATTTATTATACAATTACAAACAAATAATAACTTATTAAAAATAAAATAAAACATTAAAAACTATCATTTTAAGAATAATAAGGAAACCTCAAATATAATTTAGGATGAACAAAATTGAAATGGAAAGCTATAAGAGTTTTTTTTTTTTTAATAATAAGAAGATATTCATATTTCATGAAAACATTAACTTAAAGAGATAATAATGAAATAGTAAATGGTTAAAATAATAATATTTTTAGATTAAAAAAATAAATGGTTAAATGTTATAGTAAATGTATGTTTGTATAAGTTTTTAAAGATAAAAGAAATAATTTATATTTAAAATTATATTTCGAGAGAGTAATAGTATAGATTCACATTGACGAAAAAAATAGAAAGATTCAATGTATCTTAATATTAAATTAGAGTAAAATATAAGAATAAAAACAATACAATTATATCTACATTATTTCGAGATAGTAATAGTATAGATTCACATTGATGAAAAAAATAGAAAGATTCATTGTATCTAAATATTAAATTAGAGTAAAATATAAGAATAAAAATAATACAATTATATCTACATTATTGTTTGCTTTCTAAATAAAAATTGAATATGTTTAAATATAGGTAAAAATCTAAATAAGTACTATTGAGAAAATTATAACAAATATATATCTTTCGTAAAATTACATTACACTGAAGCACGAAAACCATATAACTGATAAACGAAAGATAAACTAAGAAGATGAAAATGAGGAAATAGTTTTGAGTTAAGAATCAATTTAAAGTTTTATTATATGTAAGTGAGCATAGAAGATAATAGAAGAGTAGATGTTGGAAAGCGAACAAATGCATCATAGAAGATGACGAAAAAATGTTTGAAGATCCTGAAGCATCAGATATATGTATGCATATGACTAAACGAAATTCATCGGATATATGTATGCACTATAGATAATTTGGTTTAGTAAACCAGACTATCATATTCAACATCGGGTTAAATCGTCGAACCATGTAAGCATAGTAGGATAGATAAGATAAAGACATTTATGATTTGGTCAAAACTTTCCTTTAGGTATTATGGTCTTGCTTCAATAGATAAATTATGCTCTCCAAACCTATTGAAGTGGCATGAATATTACGTTTATATATTTTCATAGATTGATGTTCAAACTTAGCAAATTTACTTTTAGTACGAGGTACGATAGGTCAAAACATCAAGAAAAATATACTTACAAGATTTGTTTATGGAAATAACTCTCTTTTTGATAAAGTCCATTGATAACTACCGAGACCGATTCATCTTATATAATTTTTATTATTACGTGGTACCTACCAAATATATTTTATAATTTCTATGTTGTATATTGTTTCGTAAAACAAGTATAAATATATAGAGTTTTTGAAATTCAAACGATTATGATTAGTTTTAACATTTTGTATTGTAACCCGTTGAAATTTGGTATCCCGCGCAACGCGCGGGCGAGTAAATCTAGTCCATATAAATAGAGAGTTCAAATAAAGAGATAAGATTTCGGATACCGATACTAGTCAAAAGAAAAGATGTAAAATTAATTACTACTTACTAAAAAGTGTTGAATGTTTATTGTGGCTTTTCAGTTAAACCAAAACTTTTCGATACTAGTCAAAAGAAAAGATGTAAAATTAATTACTACTTAGTAAAAAGTGTTGAATATTGTTTATTGTGGCTTTTAAGTTAAACCAAAGATTTTTTGATCCAAACAAAGTTGAAATATCAATTCAAAAACTAAATATTTCCTTTGATATAGTTTGAGTAGTTATTTTCCAAATACTAAATATACCTTAACCGATGTTTTACCAAAATAAAATGGTTATAAACTAAACTTATTTTCATAAAAGAGTAATAGAATTTGCATAAGTTCTTAAAAGGGAAATGAAAATTCTACTTAAATATATTAGATTTGGTTTGGTTTTACATTGATTATTCTTTTAAAACCAATTAAATTATTAGACCAATACTAAAAGAAGATTAAACCACCAACACGTTAAAATCTCTATGGTGGTTATGTTATTACATGGAATTAATTATACTATTTGTATATCACTATTGCATTTCTGTCCATATTTGCGATCATAGTCAATATACTTTTAATTCATTATTTTGTCATCATTTTATGCTACAAATTATATTGACTACATTATTTTTATTATTTTGAATCATATTTATTCATAGTGTTTGACAATTATTTTGGGAACTAAATGTTGACCATAAAAATTAAAAGAAAAAAAAAATTAAATATTTTACCATATATGTACATTTTTTTACTCTTGAAGTCTTTATTTATTAATTTGTTTTTAAATACTAGTGTATTAAGAATATTTATATCCAACTAAAGGAATCCCTTGAAATATCACATTAGACGTCTTATAAAAGGTATCCAAATATTTCTTAATCTTGGGGGTGTTATTGGTTCCTAATTTACAAAAACTTTTGATGACTTTAATAAAATCATATAAACTAAATTAATGAAAGATTCTAAACTATTACTAGAGAGTTTTCTATAATTTTGTTCATTAGTTTTTTTATAAGCTTATAAATTTTTCCAAACAATCTTTCTATTTTGATGATATTTTCATGACTTTATTTTGTGAAGAAAAGTGTAAAACGTCATAAACCAATAACATAATAATTTAACTGAGATTTACCTAGAATGACTCTAAACTTAGCTAATATAACTCAATTGACACTCAGTTTCATTTAGTGAACTAGACTAACCCACATTTTAAGTAAAAAGACTAATTAACCTTTGTAGTTAATATTAATAACAATCATGCCATTTGCCATTTAAAAAAGAAAAAAAAAATAACAAAATAAACAAATATGTAAACAAAGAAAAAAATGTCGAGAAAAAGAAATCAAATCGACAAAAGTTTTGAGACTCTCTTCTCCGTCGGTTCCACTAAAAACCCTAGAATCATCTCTAATCTTCAGCCGCCTCTGTTTGATATCGTAGTCTGCATGCCGAAATCGTGTTGATTTCGAGGATACATGGGTCATTAACTTTCCGGTGGTGGTTTGAATTACCGGTGGTGGCGTTTACGAGATCTCTAGAGACTGAATCGGTGCTTCCCTTGGTTCATCAGCATTGTTATAGGTAAGTTTCTAACATTTAAACCCCAATGAAACCCAAACCGTCGATTTTGTTTATTGAGTATTTATCTTCTCCGATGCTTTTTTGATTCCGGCGTTTAGGTGATCTCCGGCTACAAATCGCTGAGTTGTTTTGGAAGTCGGCTTCAGAACAAGGTAAACTCTTTAACAATGGGTCTAAAGCTTTTGTAATTTCTCGATGTGTTGTGGAGTCTTCGAAATCGATTTTTGATATTCATAAATTGTTTAACAACAGTGTATGATTTTGCTTTCACTTTGCTTTCAACAGTGTATGATTACCTTTACCCAGATATTTTCCCATTCAATTTTGCTTTCGATTTTGCTTTCACTTTGCTTTCAATTTTGCTTTCAATTATGATTAACCCCTGAGTTTTTTTTTGCAGATCGACCACCGTCATCTCAGTAGCTACATTGTTCTTCCGGTTTCCAGTAAAATTTAACCTAATTTCGTCGGAATGTTTTTTGTAAAATTCGTTCGCGCCTTTTCGATTTACATGACCACAGATTTTGTTGAAGTTCTCACAGATTTTTCAAGTTTTGGTTTTATGCAAATTGCTATTTCTCTTACATTTTTCGGATTCAAAAATTTTACAAACTTTTCTTCCCGCCTCTGTTTTGTTTTTGGTTTTTGCTTTTGACTGTTGTTATCCCAGATTTATTGAATGTTTGCATTTCTTAAGTGACAGATTTTTAGGAATTTTGTGACAGATTTCTTAAGTAACAGATTTTTCAGTGACAGATTTTTAAGTAAAAGCTTTAACAATCATGTTTGTATTTTGTTTATGTGATTAGGAATGGCGTCTTCTAGTCAAATCCTCAAGTACCCTCCGCGACTGTATGAAGAAGGAAAATCACCTTTGCAAAATAGGAGCATGAACCACAGCTGCTATTTTTTTCAAATTGGGAAGATCAGAGAAGGATTAGGTCCGGATGTGTGGGATGGTTTGATGAAATCAACACTTGGAGTGTTTATAAAATTGACTGATGTTGAATACACATGGGCTGCCCAGACCGTTCATTACTTCCTCACAAATCAGCTGCGAGTCGACAACTCTCACGAGATTTGGTGTTTGATTGATCAAAGGCCAATCAGATTTTCTCTTTATGAATTCGCGGACGTAACGGGGCTCAATTGTGATTTTATTGACGAGTCAGACACATGTGAAGCTGCTTACCATGAGTTCTGGAATGAAATGGGTGTTGGAACGTCCGATGGGCCTTTGTTTTCTGAGTTGGAGCATGTAATGGATATTAGCAAGGCATGGAATTATGTAATGGATATTAGCAAGGCAAATTGCAGTTACCGAAACCCCTTATGCCTTCCTCTTTTGATTCAACATGAACTTTCTCTTTCACTTCAACACAAAGTCGAACAGTAGCATTCTTCGTTTGGCCCAAAAAAGACTGAAACTGTCTATTATTACCAATAATTACGGGTGGTATATATGCTAGTAATTTCTTTGAATTTGAGATCTTGTAACTCAAAACAACTTCGACTACCCTGTTATCCAAGCCGTAGTCCTCATACACCATTGAAATGAAATCATCATAACTGGTTTCACTGTTGTTACCTTCGAGTACGCGACAACCTTTACTATTATCAACGACAAAAAGCCACTTCGTTTTCTCAAAGATCCATTTTTTACATACGAGAATCACCTGATCCATGCCCAATTCATTGGACTTCGATCTCACTGCAATCAAAAGGAAGAAAAACAAAAAAAATATGGAACGACACTCAAATAGAAGGAGAGGGATGAAATCGTGAGGGATCAAAAAGAGAACAGAAACAATTGAAGCAAATTTGATCCCGAAAAGGAAGAAAAATAAAGGATGAAATCGTGAGATAGTGGGTAAGCGTAAAAGAAGAAGACAAAAACAAAAACCGTTTCTGGAGCAAAAGCCCTAGAAGAATATTATTTCTCTAAATATTAGGAATTTAATGCATTAAACGTCAATTATGACAATAATTTGTATAAATCTGTCAGAGATAATAAAAGTCTGTCGTAACTAAACGCAATCAAACCGGTTTAAACATACAAGCAAACCGGCAAGATTTGGAGTTCTGTCGAATTTGAGGCTAGATATTAAATCTCATGTAACGCGATTTTTTGAAATTTCAAAAACAAATCTGCCAACCAAAAGTCTGTCAACACTAAAAAAGTTATTCTAGTTAGAAACAAATCTGCCATAACATGACATAAGAAAATCTGTTATGCTTAGGGTCCAAAAAACAAAACTGTCATAACTAAAAACAAATCTGTTATCACTATGCGACTGTTTAGTAATTATATTTTAAAAAAAAAACCTGCTATAATACGCCAGATTTGTCAACAAATAAAGAAAATCCGCGAGTACATAAAACAACTCTGTCATCATTATATATCAATTTTTTGTGTTAAAAAATCTGTTATAAAACGACAGTTTTTTAAAAAAATCCTAAAATATGTTGTCAGAATAAAGAAAAGTCTGCGGTTGGAAAACAAATCTGTGGCAGATTTATTTTATAACCATTCAAAATCTAAAAATTTTAGGAAAATCTGTGGATACAACATACAACAAATCTGTCGCGAAAAAAAAATCTGCGGAAAAATATAAATCTGTCATTACTAAATCAAACAAAGTCTGTGGTACAAAAAAAGTCTGTCGAAGAAAGTCTGTGGTGGATCAAATAGTCTGTCGTACTAAATAAATCTGTCGCAACATGAGCCACAGATTTAACAAAAACGAGAGTGGCAGTATCGTAAATAAATTGTATTTTTTGCCACGCTGGAATTAAATATTAATGGCATTCCTGTAATATGTTTTTTCTCTACAAAGCACAACAGGAGCATTTTAGTCATAAATATTACTCATATAACCCATATTTTTGGTATGCCATTCTAGTAATTAAACACAAATTATGGGTCACTCTAGTAAATTTCCCATAATTTAATTCATTAACAATCATCGATTCTTTTGTTTTAATTGAATAACACAAAACTTTTATTGACTTTATAAAAGTTTGAATCCAATAACTCCAGATTTTTGAAGATTTGAGATTACTTTTTACAAATCTTTAATTAATAACACCAAAATTTAACGAACTTTTAAAAAATCTTAATTGAATAACAGCAGATTCTACATAACATTTAAAGACATTAAAACTCTATTTAAATCACAAACCAATAACACTAAAATACTAAAAATACCCTACCCACATAAAGCACAATAGAACATGCCATGTTTCTTGTAGTTATGTTCAGACCTGAATTTTCTTTTAAATCTCAGGGCTTAATCTTGTTGTTACGGTTATGACGAAGTACAGTTCAATACGGTTTGATATGAATCTTGTGATAGTAATTTGCAGGAATGATAAGAGCATGATCCCGAAGAAAATGTGAGTTCTCATGTTTTCAAACCTCTTCTATTATTTAGGTTTTTTCTTTTCCTTGAGGATAAGAAAAGATTTAAGTTGGGAGAGTTGATGTGTTGCGTTTTACCACTTTTGAGTCTTTTGTCGAGTCTAAGCGTCTTTTAGATGTTTTTAGAGTCTGTCGAGTCGTTTTGAGTCATTTCAGGTGCTACAATAGAGATGGCTGAAGTTTGGAGCAAAAAGCATTGAAACCCGCTTAAAGATTATGAAAATACGTTCATACTAGTTGACCTGACCTATTCACCCAACCAGAGGTAGGGCGAGTCAATAAATCTACTGATCCATCCAATCGACCTGACCTATATAAAATTATAGGGCCCAAACTAATGTTACACAAAGTTATAGAAGAATACTTGTACTGTTATTTTTTTGCGCGATTGTCCCGCCATTACTTTAGTCATCGTCCTCATTAATCAGCAGATGTTTTTTAATTCGCCCTACCTCTGGTCGGGTGAATAGGTCGGGTGAGGTTAACTTAAAGGTAACATATATACATATAAAATACTTAAAATTAAATTTTTGGTAATATATAACTTAAATGAACATAATCCCTAAATATATAATTAAGAAATAAAAATAATAATGAAAATTTCATAGAAATACCAATGTTATTTAAGATGGGCAAAATGATTCTTAATGAAATTTATTATACAATTACAAAAAAAATAACTTATCAGAAACAAAAAGGTTTAAAAACTATCGTTATCAAGACTAATAAGGAAACCTCAAATATAATTTAGGATGAAAAAAATAATTGAAATGGAAGGCTATAAGAGTTTTTTTTAATAATAAGAAGATATTCGTATTTTCTAGAAACATTAACTTAAAGAGATGACAATGAAGTGGAAGAAATCTATTTAAAATAATATTATTTTTTAGATTAAAAATAAATGGTTAGATGTTATAATAAATTTATAATGTATAAGTTTTTTAAGATATAAGAAATAATTCATTTTTAAAATTGGAAATTATATTTAGAAAAACAAAAGTAGAAATTGACATTGACAAAAAAAATAATAAGATTGATTGTATCTTAGTATTTTATTATAGTAAAATGTAACAATTATATCTGTATTATTGTTTGCTTTCTAAATAAAAAAAGGTTAAAATATTTAAATATAGGTAAAAATCAAAATAAGTGTAGAGACAATTTTCATAAATATATATCTTCCGTAAAATTATATTACGCTCAAGCATGAAAATCATATTATTAATAAGAGAAAATAGACTAAGAAGATGAAAATGAGAAAATAATTTTGAGTCAAGAATGCATTCAAAGTTTTATTATATGTAAGTGTTCATAGAAGATAAAAGAATATTAGATATTGGGAGGCGTACAAGTGCATCATAGAAGATGACGAAAAAATGACAGAGAAAAAGTATTTGAAGAGAAATTGACTAATGCTTGAAGCATCGGATATATGTATGCACATGACTAAAGTAAATTCATCGGATATATGTATGCACTATCATATAGTTTGATTTAGTAAACCAGACTATCATATTCAGCATTGGGTTAAACCGTTTGTGGATGTCGGGTTCACACACTCAAGTATTTGATTAAGTGGGAAAGATTATTCTTGAGGGACAAAAATGAATGTGTAAAAACTTGTGAATTGTTACAAAAATTGCTATAATATTTCTTTCTTGAGAGGAAGATCCCTTTACATGGCCATTGGCCTTTCTATTTATACATAGAGAATTGACATTAAAATGAATAATTAAGTACAATTATTCCCTCTTAAATGTGTCCGTTTTGATTCTTTGACTTTAATGCTCAACGTTTGAATTTGAGTTGACTCTGATCTTTATGGGCCTCGCCTTTCTGGCCCAAGCGTCCCCGAACCGACTTGCCCGCATCTTTCACACCGAACTCGTGTCTCAGTGCAGCCACTTCGAATTCCCGAGGTGGTGACAACCACCTCGACCGTTCCTTCGGCTCATGGGTCCAATGCTCAAGTGGCCAAAGATTGCGCTCGAGAATCTTTCTGATTTCCCGCCGAAAATCTCATCACTCCTTTAATTTCGGCACTAGCCTTTTTTAACCTAGTGACATCTGTCATCATTATGACCGTACATTGATTAATTACTATTAAAACGGAAAAAACCTTCCCACTACCCACACAACTTCCGAGGCGGTTTCATCATTAGCTTGAGGTAACTTCTTTTCACCATTACTCTCTTCTTTTTCTTTTGTACTTTAATCGGAGCCTCTCTCTTTGTTTCCTCACAAAAACCCCTCTTCGCCGGATCTTGAATTTTTTCCTTCTTCCCAATGACTTCCGATTCTGATAGACCCGAGTCTCCGTCTTTCGATGAGAGGCGTTCTAGCAATGATGAGTGCACCCGCTCTGATGATATTGCCGGTCCGCACTATAGGTCCACTTGTACTCTTCAATCCCTCGAGTGGTTGAGAGAGCTTTGCCGGATTCCGCCGGAAATCATGGCGGAAGCACAAATAGCCTCCCCCACAGAATCCCCAGAGAACCATCGCGATGGTTACTTCTGTGTGTACGAGATTTATTTCAAGGGTTGCGGGCTGACCTTTCCTCTTCCCGAAGCCCTAGTTCTATACCTAGCGGCTCTTGAAATCGCTCTTCCTCAATTAACCCCCAATCTCCTCCGTACTATTCTTGGAATTATAACAATCGCGGCGGAGGCCGGTTACGTTGTCGGAGTTACTGAACTAAATGAGCTTCTAAGCGTGAGAAGTTCATCGAAGAAAACGGGGTATTTCTCAGCATATCCTAATGCCAACAGGAACATCATTTCACATCTTCCGAACAAGGATGAAAATTGGCATCATCCTTGGTTTCTGATTAAGAAAACTCCCGCTTCGATCGGAAATCTTGCAGATTTTCTCCCTTCGAAGTGGTCTGCGAAACCCGGTAGTGATTAGGTCGCCCGTATCTTTCCCGGTTGTTTTTTTATCTTTATTGACTAACACCGTTGTTTCATTTCGCAGCTTTCGTCGCCTCCACTCTCCCATCTGAAGAGTTCATCGAATTCTTCAAAATAATTCTTGAAGGGGAAACCCTTTGGAATTCTTT